TCTCTCTCTCTGCTTTTGGCTGGTTTTGTGTCGCTTTTGGAATGCTTACAGAACTGAACTTCAAAAGAACTGAATACCTATAAAGGTCATAAACAGAGATGGGCACTAACCACTGGTTCGTTGGTTCATCCTTTGGACAAACAAGTGTTCGGCAGTTCCCAGCCCTGCCTCCTCTGGTGAGTGCCCACTCAAGAGGCAGAATCCTGGCATTCCTGCCTCATCTCCTCTGGGTGCTGCCTCTGAGTGGGTGCCTACTGGAGGAGGCAGGACTGGGAAGCACTGAGCGCTTGTTCATCCAAAGGACAAACCAGCATGAACCACGAAGCTAGCAGTTTGTGCCATCTCTAGTCATAAATCATTGCATGTGCAAAAGGCAAACTTATATCACCGTCTCTTAGACTCTAGCGTGAATGCTTTACTGTGTGATATCTGTATTCCACCTCATATGTCTGAAGAAGTGGGCAAAGAAGATCCACAAATGTGTACATTAAAATATAAATCTTTAAGATGATACATTTTTGTGTCTTTATTTTTATTTTGTTTTTGTCTGGTATCACTATTGAAGTAGGTATACCAAAACTAGAAGCCACTTCAATATGTATAATCCATTACTATTCACAATACTCACTGCTGTTTCTGCAAACAAATATAAGGACTCCCCATGAATGTGCATCCTTAAAAGCCATTCAGTTACTGCATCTACACATAACCATCTACAACCCAGAGACAGCAACACTGTGCACATAATAACAACTACTAACAACTGCAAAATCTCTGGTTTTGCTCATGGCTGTCAATATTTAAATTGCCTAAATCTTCAATTCTTACTTGGAATATGAAAATAAATAAAATAGGGTTTCCTGCATGAGATTAATTATAGAAATCCATACCAATCTGGCTTCAGGTCTGGTCACCGGATGGACCTTGGTAGATAACTGGCACTTGGAACTGAACAGAGGCACTGTGTCCCTGTTGGTTCTACTGGATCTCTAGGTGGCTTTTGATACCATCCACCATGGTATCCTCCTGGCCATTTCTCTAGTATGGGAATTTCAGGCACTGCTTTTGAAGATGATTTGGAAACAGCAGGTTACTCACCTGTAATTGTAGCTCTTTGAGTGGACCTCTGTGATTCACACAGTGGGTGATCTGTGCCTGCGCGGAGCCTCTTCAGAATATTCTAGAGCTTCTGCGGTAGCGAAAAACATTAGAATAGACCCATCCTCCTCAGTTTAAGTACCTCAGCCCCACGACTCTCCCTTCAGTTGTGTCAACTTCCGCAAGGATAAAAATATTGCATGGAGTGACAGAGGGGAGGTCGGGTGGGATGTGTGAATCACAGAGGTCCACTTGAAGAACTACAATTACAGGTGGGTAACCTGCCGTTCTTCTTCGTGGCCTCTGTGAATCACACTGTAGGTGACTAGCAAGCTGTCTTACCCGGAGGCAGGGTGTCACACCAAGGTGGAAGCCAAAACAGCACATCCAAATGCCGCATCAGACTTCTGTCGAACATCCAGTCTATAATGCCGGATGAAGGTAAATGGTTGTGCCCATGTAGCTGAAGCACAGATGTCGAGGACAGGCACACCACGTAGGAATGTTGTAGAGGTCGCCAATGCCCTGGTGGAATGAGGGTGAATAGCTTCACGGACCAGCTGTTGAACAAGCTGGTATGCAAGCAGAATAGTAGAGGTAACCCAGCGAGAAATCGTTTGAGAAGTGACTTGTAGGCCTTTGTTAGGAAGTTGATGGCTGACAAAAGGCATGGGGAAAATCGAAAAGGTTGTGTACATGACAAAAGGAGAGGGCCCTCCTGATGTCCAAAGTATGAAGAAGTCATTCATGGGTTGTGGGTGGTGATAGAAAGATTGGAGGACGAGTGGTTGAGAGAGAGGAAATTGAGACAGCACTTTAGGAAGGAAGGAGACTTTGAGAAACAACTTTATCAGGATAGAATTGCACATAAGGATAATGATGGCGTAGGGCCGGCAAGCTGGATAAGACCCTTCTGAAGGTAAGTAAATGGAGATCCGCTGAAGCTAGTGGTCCTGGCCTGCAATGTGCAGAGCTGTGAGGCATATGTGGTGTGAGAGGCACCATCCCCTTAGGTTGACTGTCAAATAGAGGAGGCTTGGGGAGTGTGTGCCAACTTGTTTGAGAATGTAATACATGGTTGTGGTGTTTTCGGTGGCAATCTGGACCACCTTGCCAGTTAGAACGTTTCTGAATACTTTGCAGGCCTTTATCACCGCTAATAGTTCTAACATGTTGATGTGGAGTGTTCTCTGCGGGACCAATTGGCATGTATTTTGAGAGAGTTGTAATGTGCTCCCCAGCCAGTAAGGCTGGTGTAGGTTGTGACCTGTATTTGAGGACGTGGTTGCTGGAAAGGGCGTCCCACGGAGAGATTTGGGATGAAGCGCCACCATTGGAGTTGTGAGGCGAGTTTGGGAGTAACTCTTAAAAGAGTGTTGGGAGGATCTGTTAGTGGGTCGAAAAGTGCGAGAAACCACAATTGCAGAGACCTCATCTTCAGGTGTACGTATTGTATGACTGAGGTCATGGAAACCATGGTGCCCAGTACACGTTGGATGAGGATGGCAGGGACCAAGGTGAGGGGGGAGAAGCCTTGGAGGAAGGAGATAAGGTTTTGTTGTTTGTCGAGTGGGAGGAATGTGTGAGCTCAGGTGGAGTCTATGGAAGCCCTGTATAATGAATAACCCTTGTAGGGCTCAAGTCTATGGAAGCCCTGATATAATGAATAACCCTTGTAGGGCTCGCTTTTTGCATGTTGACCATGAGACCGGGATCGCGATGAAGGGATAAGGTGAAAAGGGTGTCCTGGCCATGCAGTAGGAATGAGCTACAAGAAGCCAGTCTTCTATGTATTGGAAGATGAGGATCTTTTGAAGTCTGAGAAAGGCAGCCACTGGGACCATGCACTTGGTGAAGACTCTTGGAGCTGTTGCAAGTCCAAAAGGAAGTCTTTTGAATTGGTAGGCTTGGGGCCCAAGTTGGAATCAGAGAAACGGTCTGTGGAGATGTGGAAGTATGCATCTCGTAAGTCTATAACTGAACCAATCATCTTTTCTGAGAAGAGGTAGAACAGATTTGAGGGTTACCATACGGAGAGTTCCAGAAAAACATCTACTTCTGCTTCATTGATTATGCAAAAGCCTTTGACTGTGTGGACCACAGCAAACTATGGCAAGTCCTTAAAGAAATGGGCGTGCCTGACCACCTTATCCATCTCCTGAGAAACCTATATGTGGGACAGGAAGCAACAGTTAGAACAGGATATGGAACAACTGATTGGTTCAAAATTGGGAAAGGAGTACGACAAGGCTGTATATTGTCTCCCGGCTTATTTAATTTATATGCAGAATACATCATGCGGAAGGCTGGACTGGAGGAATCCCAAGCCGGAATTCAGATTGCTGGAAGAAATATCAACAACCTCCGATATGCAGATGATACCACTCTGATGGCAGAAAGTGAGGAGGATCTAAAGAACCTTGTAATGAGGGTGAAAGAGGAGAGTGCAAAAAACGGTCTGAAACTCAACATCAAAAAAACTAAGATCATGGCCATTGGTCCCATCACCTCCTGGGAAATAGAAGGGGAAGATATGGAGGCAGTGACAGATTTTACTTTCTTGGGCTCCATAATCACTGCAGATGGAGACAGCAGCCACGAAATTAAAAGACACCTGCTTCTTGGGAGGAAAGCGATGACAAACCTTGACAGCATCTTAAAAGCAGAGACATCACCTTGCCAACAAAAGTCCGAATAGTCAAAGCTATGGTTTTTCCCGTAGTGATGTATGGAAGCGAGAGCTGGACCATAAAGAAAGCTGACCGCCGAAGAATTGATGCCTTTGAATTGTGGTGCTGGAGGAGACTCTTGAGAGTCCCCTGGACTGCAAGGAGAACAAACCTATCAATTCTAAATGAAATCAACCCTGAGTGCTCACTGGAAGGACAGATCCTGAAGCTGAGGCTCCAATACTTTGGCCATCTCATGAGAAGAGAGGACTCCCTGGAAAAGACCTTAATGTTGGGAAAGTGTGAAGGCTAGAGGAGGAGGGGGCGACAGAGGATGAGATGGTTGGACAGTGTCATTGAAGCAACAACATGAATCTGACCCAACCCCGGGAGGCAGTGGAAGATAGGACGGCCTGGCGTGCTCTGGTCCATGGGGTCACGAAGAGTCGGACACGACTAAACGAACGAATACGGAATTTTGTGGTGATGACATATTGATTGAGTTCTCTGAGGTCTAGAATAGGTTGTAAACCTCCGTCCTTTTTGGGGACGGTGAAATAACGAGAGAAAAAAACGTTTTGTTGTATAGGTTCTATTGTGTCTTTGGTGAGTAAATTTTTTATCTCTTCTTGTAGAGCTTGGGATGGTGGAGTGATGATATGATGTGATGGAGGAAGTTGATGGCAATGAATGAAGTATCGATTCTGGATTATGGATAGAACCCAGGCATCAATGGTGATGGATTGCCAGGCAGGTAAGTGGTTCCATAGGAAAGGAGGTTGGTTTGCGATCTCAGTCGGGAAAACATCAAACATGATGTTTGGGTTTATGGTCATTGCACCTTTGGATAGCTTGTTGGCGAGGTTTCTGTTTGTATTGTTGTTTAAAGTATGGTGTGTAGAAGGTCTGATGTTGGGATTCGTGTTGGAACCTCTGGTAGGAATTGTAAAGTTGCCTCCATTGGTTATACTGGGGACGCTGTTGATAAGTGGGATGTCCAATCTTTTGGCAGCAGAACGTTTCTTCTGAATGTTTTCACTGAGGGAAAGGCAGCATAAAAATATAAATGAATGATCAATGTCCAATACCAGGATAACAGATCTTATAAACATATCTCAGAAACTTCTGTTACATGACATCAGATTTTTAATTCAATCACTTAAGTATACCTATAATTTGAATATGTAGACAAACCAAGCTAACCATGATCACCATATCACCATAAAGCACACATACAGTTCATAACTTTAAGCTTTATTTAAGAGGTGAAATACATAGTTTCTTCTCAGAGAGGCTGAAGATACAGGGCAATTATAAATATTTTTTCATACTCTATTGTATCCCACAGAGGCTGGGCAGTTACAAAACACAGGGTTTACACTGCATTAAACACAGTTTACATAGCATCTGGGTGTACAGACAAGTTGTATTTAATATAGTTATTTACCTTGGACTACATTTTAGCATACTCATGCAAGCAAACCTGCTGCTTTGGCTCTTTAAAACTGGCATTATTTCCTTAATTTTTTTCTCCTGCATTTTGTTAGTCAAAGGAACTGTGCAGCATACCTTGGAAAATAAATACTAAATACATATTCGGAAAGAAGAAATTATTTAATAGTTTTTAAAGGTAGTTAAGATCTCAGTTACTTTTTTCCACCTAAAATAAGGATCTTAATGACAAGTATAAAGCCTGTGATTGGATATTCATTCAAAAAGAAACTATGTTCCTGAAATGTAAACAGTTCCTTTTCACAAGACAAAATTACTAGGAATGTTAATGACCATTTTTATGACCCCTCTCCTGTGGTATACTACTTCCATAGACATCTGAGGAATTTAGGGATCCATGATGTTCTCCAGGAGTTATAATAGTGCAATATCAAGGAATATTTCTCTTCAAAGCCCTCTTACATATATATAGATTGGCTGTCTGTAATTTCTATGTGTGGTATCAACCAAAATCCTGTACTTTTTCAGCTCCTCCAACATTTAACACATCTTGTTAACATATGCCTGAAATTATATGAATGTAAGACTTGTACTGGTGGGAGGAGAGAAGCAGGAGCAGATGCATAAAGGATTCAAAGTGATCTCAGCAAATAGTATGGTACCATTTCTCTGTAAAACAGACTGCAAATTTGACATTCACTGTAAAAAAGAATAGTCCAGCGGGTGATATATTTGTTGAAAGAGTCTAAATATACCTATTCTCAGAACAGTATACTTGACACATTTTCTGGATTTCTGCATTATTAATACACAAAGGAAAAATATTTGCCACTATTTGTACACCAAGATTACAACTTTCTATATCTCAAGAAAGAAGTGCTAAAAATTCTACACCTAATATTTTTAACTTCCAAAGGGAACTGGGATTTTTTTACAGTTGACCTGGAGCAGTGTTACATGGAACAAAAGCTAGATTATGAAAATTTTTGTTTTTAAAAAAAAACTGAATTGTGCAATCCTGGCACTGGCTCACAGATCTCCTATATACATGGCAGTCGGACATGTACCCTGTATATAGCTTCATCAAATAATGCGTTCACGTGGAAAAAACCATATCTGCCATAGTTCAAGGTGCTTTCAGCAGCTTATTGATATTATTTTAAAATGCAGTATAGTAATAACAGCACATAAACCTGAGAGATTAAGTGTCCCTTCCATGGACTCTAACCTCACACAGGGCTCATCTGACACTGGAACATAAAGCAATGGGCCCTGAAACCAGAGATACTTGGAGAAAAACACTGAAAATAAATGCCATCTTCCAAATGTGCTTCTCTTTTAAAGAAGACCATGGTACTCAAATTTGTCATTAAAGCAAATGCTCTGAAAAGACTTAAGATTTAAGACTGTAACCCAGAAACACTTTAATATGTATAGCCATGCTTTTATACAAGGACCCCAAAAGCTGACACATCACTATTATCTTTTCAACTTCATGATTGCACAGAAATAGTGGCAATTTGGGTGCATTTGGAATTGCTCACTAGCCAGAAATAGCTAGCCTGGTATTGGAGTAGTGTTAACTGGAATTAGCAGAGTCCACCTGCATATTCGTCATCTTCTTCATGCACACGAGACCCTGGAACAGCAGATCCATCTGCTTTGCCCTGGGGAGTAACTGGAGACTTCTTCTTTATGCCTCCTCCTGGGACAGTCAGCGAGAGACCAAGCTTTGCATACTAGCAAAGGATAGGAGGAACAAGAATCTCTGTGTCATTAAAGGCATATCCCAGTTATTTTGCTTGTGAACTAATGCAGAGGTATATAAATCAACTAATTAAGTATCCTTACTTAATGGCAATATGGTCAATGTCAGCATTAAACTACCCTAAAGGTAAATGATTATGTTGAATAAAATACTGACCTAATATGACTGGGTCTTACATAATGACCACAATCTTCCTCACAGCTTAAAAATCTAGATTGCCTTGCTATGTCATACACAACTTTAGACAGTGGATCAATTGAAATCAAATCACCCAGCGACTGAAATCCAGTAATAAGTCACAACTAGAACAGGCCTATTGAATCAACAGAGCTTACAGAAGTGTTGAATCACCAAAATCCACTGATTCAATTAGCCTAGTTGTGACTTACTACTGGATTTCAGCCAATAAATGTATTGTCCAGCAACAATAACCACTTGAAAAACCTTGGCTGTAATAACTGGATTTTTGAGTTCTTATTTGCTTATACAACCAAAACATTTCACCATCTTACGTTCTTTTGGTCCTCCAATAACAACAAATACATTTATTTTCCAAATACATAGAACAAAACTTCTGATTACATAAATATCGGAGGTAAAATAATGAAAAGCAGTGACGTACATATTACAAAACAATTAATACTTAGCTTGCAGTAAAATAATTATATTATAAACGAACAGACAAAACAAGCCAACGTCTATATGCAATCTCATTTCACAAGAGGTCCCCCAAAATTTGTAAGACCGGAGTGAGAAAATTCCTCAGTACCCACACTTGCTTAAAACTCCAGATTTGGCAGGGACTGTGTATAAGACTATCATAGGAAACTGCCACATTCAAGCAGCATAGTATAATCTATTACCAGGCAGCAACAAACACTAAGTCCCACCAATGACCCGGTAGTTCACATCACTTTATCCTGCTCACAACTGGGAAATGAGGTTTCTTTTTCATTTTCACTTAACAGACATTCTCACATTTATGATACTCATTGTTCAGAATATACACCAACTTACATCATTGTCCATATATTTAAAGAGTGGTGAATTGCACACATCAGACACCTGGTCCTGGTCTTGCTGATCATACCCTTCTAGTAGTTGCTCCAATGCTGCACAGTCCTCACTTTCTCTGAATCCTGGTATGCTGATACAATTGAAAATTCATTTAAAAATAGTTCTCTCAAAGTTAAGAAACCAGTTTCCAAACAAGGGACAAAGATGGAAAAGGAAGACCCCGAATCAGTGTTCAAGATATGGATGCCCCAGGATTTTCATTATTATCCCATTTGGGGTAAATTACTCCTGTTCCCCGACCACTGATCTAATGATACTGATGTGGAATATTTTTATTAATGCAGGTACCCCAGCATGTAACATGAATTGTTTCAACAGTGACTTGTCTGCTCTGTTGAATTTCCAGTACTAACCTGATTGTTTTATGCAAGCTATTAATATAACCTTACATATTATTACTCTATCATTTATCATTAGTACTGTGAACTGCCTCGACAATTTAACTGCACGACAGCCTAGATCAGGAATGGGTCAACTGAGGACTATGGGTCATACGTGACACTCTCCAGGACCTCTGGCTTCCAACCCCTGAAACCTTAAACAGTTATTTAAAAAAACTGGCTCAGAAAGTAGAAATGTAGGCCTATTTAAAATTAAAATGTTTCAGAGTGGGAGGAAGCAGGGACACCCTTCCAAGGTTCAAGAGAGGATGGACTTCTGGTGGTTGTTCCCCCCTGAGGGTCCACTGCTCTCAATGGTTGAGGTCTATGGATGCAGAGCCAGAGGTTGGGAGCTCAATTCCCCACTGTGCCTCCTCGACAGGGGCTGGACACAATGATCCACAGGGTTCCTTCCAGCTCTGCAGTTCTAAGATTAAGATAAGGCAATTATGCCATGTTTGGGGGCTCTCAATATCCTTGGGCCATTTAGATCTCCTTTTAAAATTTTATACAGTTTTGGCCATTAGAGGGTGATTGTGGGGCCTTTTCAGAAAAAGTGAAGCCTCTTTAAAAGTTCTTTTAAAGGGCAGATGGGGAACAGGTGCACACTCCAAGATCCAGGCGTGGGCAGACCTCTGGAGATCCACCTCACCACTCCTTAAATAAAGTTATTTTAAAACATATAAATCAGATGCTTACATCTTACTTTCCCAGCCAGCAAGCAATTTTATAAGATTACAGATGTGTGTAACTTCATGTAAAGAAATATGACTTTACTAAAGACATCCTTCCCCACCTATTCTAAAATGTACTGGATAGTGGGAACTGCAATAAAGCACATCTAAAGGTCTAAGTTGGGGAGGATTACTTTAGAAACAACAAAATTGTGCTGTTCAGGGAAATGTGCAAATAGCAACGTCCCTAACATGATATGAAAGCTTCAGAAATATAGATCTACCCCATTTGCAAATAAGAAAAATCACATGAAATACAATCATGTTTTAAATTAAAAAGCACTTAGGCAAAAAGGTGACTTACCTATAGCTTTCCCTGACACATTTTTCTGCAGCAACATAGTCATTTCTGTGAAGATGAACTAAGACCTGAGCAATCGTTTTCTAAAGAAGAAAAAAAGACTGATCATTCTATAGCAACAAAGCAGTATTTCAGAATAAACTGACCAGTGCCATATCCAGAATGTGAGCCCACTGGAGCTTTCTATGGCTTAACACTGCAGAGATCTGAAGGTATATGATCAACAAAGCAGACACCATTGTTTTTGGAAAAGATTAATCATAATAGAACATTGCTCTTATTTAAAGGAAACTCTATTTTCTTCTCAAAACAGGGAAAAAAAGAGAACAACTGATCCTATACCTTGTAACACGTTGGATAGTTTTCAATATCTTTATAAAGACTCTTTTCCTTCTGAAGAGATACTGCAGCTTCATCTAGTCTGGAAGACAAAGGATGAGAAGTGGTTCAGAATCAGAAAGCAGAAAGATTGCAACTAGATAATTCAATAACACAGAAATGAGTTGCCTGTGTGCAATTACAATGAGCGTATACTAAATTTTCAGTTGAACATACGTTTGAGAACCACTTGTTTAAAAATTTCATGGTGAAATGAATTAAGGTTCCCAAAACTAAGACTGATATATACAAGTAGCAAACCCATACTTGCATGATTCTTTCTAGTATAATTACATATGAAGTAAATACCATGAAACCCAGTGTGGTGTAAGAGCTAGAGTAGTGGAGAGAGTGTCAGGCTAAGACTCAAAAGAACTGGGTTCAAATTTCTACTCAACATGGAAAATCAATAGGGAAATGGCAATGGTAAACCGTTGTTTGAACAGCTCACATACCTCTCAAAACCTGTCAAATATGTCAGGCCACATTCCTGCTGGAAGACAGCCTATTCTCCACTTTTGTTGAACTGTTCAGGAAACATGAACTGCAATGCATGTCACTTTGAATGGCACACGAACCAATTCTCCAACCAAAACAATGAAAGAGGAAATTTCCTATAGTTCTGAACGAGTTCTAGGACTTTTCCCATTTATACCTTTCTGTTGTTGTTTATAAAAGTTCTATTTGTGAATGTTTTAAGCGGATACATTTTTAAAAGATTCCCAAATGGTATAGAATGGGTTGTGAGGTGGAAAGGAAGAAATTTGTTCCTTTACAATAGTGATATTGTAGATATTGGCCAAAAGTTGCCCACTCAGTCCCAGTGTCAGTTACAATACATACAACTCTATAGGCAGTACACCAACGTCCAGCAATATGATTTAGTAGCCTACATTCTATGGAAACATAGCCATGGGGCTTTCAAAGAGAATGTCATCAGGACCATATGCAAGAATTCAGTAATAGTAGAGTACGCAAAACCCACATCAGCCAGCAACATTTTGACCTCCCAAAGATTGTTTCAAAAAGTACTAAGATGCACACCTACGACCTCTGACTAAAAGCCTTGAAGCCTTTCCATACATTTCAACTGCTTGTCGTAAACGTTCTTCATTCTAGATGAAAAAGGAAAGGAAAGCATAATCAAACATTAATAGCTTAATTGTAAGGCAAATCAGAATTACTGGAAGTAGCTCAAGTTGAGATGTCTGCAATTTCTCCAACATCTCTTGGTTTTAGTTGCCTGTTTACATAGGGATCTCTTAATTATATTTTAAATATACCTCTACTACTTGGACAATCCAAATCATTTTCAGATTTCTCATGTTAAGTCACAATTTAGTACCATGCTTCCCTGAAAATAAGACATTAATATATTAATTTTTGCTCCAAAAAAACACATTAGAGCTTATTTTCAGGGGATGTTTTATTTTACAGTCATGTCATTTTCTGGTTTCTGCACAATGCTGCACAATGGTAGAGGGTGGGGTTTCACTTAACTAGGGCTTTTGGGGGGGGGTAGGGCTTATATTGCGAGCATCCTGAAAAATCATACTAGGGCTTATTTTCAGGTTAGCTTGACCAGAAAATGAAATTTTAGCTGCTGTACTAAAATGACTAATACAGGAAAGGACCCAAGTTGTGTCCTACACGTTCAGAAGTACAATAAAGAAGCGGAAGTTACCGATCATGAAATGATAAGAGTCAATCAGAAGTTATTTCTGTCATAGCAGTTAGCCTACTCAAGCAACAACCTAGGAAGCTGAGATATATCTGCTTAAGCTCATACTTCAGTCTTTGCTCTATCTCCAAAGATGATTCAGCTGCTATTTTTCACATTTTAATTTAAAATACTTATGAAGCTAAATGTGAATAGAAATAGAAAAACAGTCTATTGGTAGTATGTTAAACAGGCATATATAACTAAAATTAAAGCATGAATACTAAATAGTTACTGTCATGCCACATTGAAAAAAACAGCTTCTCATAAGAACCACTGAAAATCCCTACATAAACTAGGTTGGGCAGTGTACAGGAGTAGGAGCCTTAAGATCGTAAAGGGCTTTCATGAAAGCAAATTCTTATTGTTAATGTCTGATACAGCTTCTCATAAGAACCACTGAAAATCCCCACATAAACTAGGGCTTTCATGAAAGAAAATTCTTATTGTTAATGTCTGATGGTGTATATTCATTCCAATATACAACTGCCCTGTCTGATCTATGTAAATTAAAATACCGTATTGGCAAGTGATGGCATATATGGTGATTTACAAGTGAGTGAGCTCATGGAAGTAGATTCCTAATGTTAGCTCACATAATTGCGTTGACTATATCCCAGAGTAACAATTCTTGGAAGGTAGACTCTCCTTTGTTGGAGATGTCAAAAAATGAATGGATGGTTATCTGTTTTGGATGCTTTCGTTGTGGTTTTCCTGCATCAGCAGTGAGTTAAACTAGATAAACTAGAGTCCCTTCCAAGGAATGTTCCCACTAAGCTGCCCACTCGTGTGCCTCTGCAGCGCTGCACTGGGGGTGCGCAGTCAAGTCAGTGTTGCCACCCATTAGCTTCTGGTCATGGCCAGAACCCCATGGCTCCCGAACATTAAGAGGGAATATTGCTTCCAAAGCTACAGTTCTATGATGGTACTATTTGAAGTGTTAATTCTCATCAATGTCAGCCAAATCTGCTTGCCTAGGGAGTATTTATGCTTTCAAAAGACTTACCTCAAACACTGCTGCTGTCTGCTGATAGAGCTGAATAGCCTTGTCTGGATTTATATTTTCTATTACCCTGAAATAACAACATCAACACCATTACTTAGATATTTTTCTTCTGAAAGTTACATTCACTTGCATTATCTTCTGACCCTCTCGCACTGTTTACCTGTCTTTCTCTTGCCAGTCCCTTCTCTATCTCTTCTTTTTCTCTGTAGACTTTACTTCAGCTAGAGATCCAAAAGGATTGTTTCTAAAGGGCTTCTGAAATAAGGGTGGTAGAACACTCATTCCAATTTAACTTTGTAGTTTTATCAATAAGGAAAAAATGAGGAACTGAACTCTATTCCAAACATAACAAAACCCTGGTACTTGGAAATTGCCTACTTACTTTCCGGCACGATCTAGTGCAATAGCTGCTGTGTCAGGGGTTCCATTCTCCAAGAACATCATGCTGGCTTTCTGAATGAGTTCTATGGCATCATGGTGTTGCTGCATCTCCTGCAGGAGGAAGAAAAAAGGCTCAGGTTTATTGGTAAGACTGAGAAATGAAGATTGCTCAAACATTTTCATTTGGCTATCACAACATCAAGCAATCATTAACATTTTACCTAAACCTTATCCTTATGTTTCGGTGAGCAATTTTTATTAAATGTGAATTTCAAAGGTTCAAAGAATGTATTTTTATTTATTTATTTATTTATTGTATTTATACCCCGCCTATCTAGTCATTTCGACCACTCTAGGCGGCTTACAACATAAAGCATAACAAGTTCAAGAAAAATTTATAACAAATTAATTAATTAAATGATTCTGCAAGATGGGAAAAATACAGAATAAATCAAATAAAGAGAAAAAAAGGAAAGAGGACAGGAATTAACTGGAAGGGAAGGCCTGCCTATACATCCACGTTTTTAGTTGGTTCTTAAAAGTACCCAGCGAGGGTGCAGCGCGAATCTCCGGAGGTAGGTTATTCCAGAGGCTATTTAATACAATAGACCACCTGAACTGCATCACAGTTAAAAGATAATTCATTCAGCAGCTTCATACAATCATATCTATTAATGGTCCGGATATGCAAACTAATATGGGTGAAAAATATTGTGAAGTAATGTGATACCTTTTCTCCAGGTAATCTGCAATGGCCATCCAAATGCCTTAGGCATCATGTGGTAAACATGAATGTGCAAGACAGTCAGGACAGTCAGACAGCATTCCATTTATTTAGTGGGTTAGTCAATGTCTTTCTTTTAGTTTAACTCAACAAAAAACTCTTCTACCTACATTTCTATCATTCTATGAAGACTGACCCTGTAAGCATGGATTAATTGCAATCCATGTTACCAGACTATCTTCCTTCTAGGAAAATATGCTCAAGGTCCAGCTGTTAAGAGTGTCTGGATATAAGTCTATCAGGTATCACTGATTACAGGCACTTTAACATAAGCATTTTGACTTTCCTGAAACAAGCATCAAGCTTGTGCAATTTAATGACAATATATACAATCTGATGATGTCTATCCACTGGTGGAATGCACACAGTTTATGGAATGGATCCTACTTCTTCCCTTCAGCCTCAAAGTCTGCTTGGCAAGTCCTACAGAACAAAGAGATATCTGCTTTGATGGGTCGCAGAAAAACGTGGCAGTTTTCAATTAGAAAAGTTTAATTGAGAATATCTCAACACTGGTTTCGAACCTTGGGTCCCCAGTTGTTCTTGAACTACAACTCCCAGAAGTCTTGGCCAGCATAGCTAGTAGTGAAGGTTTCTGGGAGTTTTAGTCCAAGAACATCTGGGGACCCAAGGTCAGGAACCACTGATCTAAAGACTACACTTTAAAACAAATAAAAACCTAAATGTGATGGGATTTTAAACAGTAATTCTACCAAACAATAGAAATGCACTGAAGCTTACATGAAATTATATTCTGGATTCATGACATGCATTTATCAAACTACAAGCTAAATATTATATAGAACGAAGTTTTAATGCTTAATGTAATGAAATGCCATTGTACAGAAAGCCTGAACAGAGCCATACCTTTAACATCATACCAGCTTGTTCATAAGATCTGTAAAGAAAAAGCAAGATAGTGCAGGATCTTCACAAAGAAACATCTCATGGTAAGCAATACTATGAGTTAACTGTATCATGCTGCAAGCATCTTTGGGCTGTTTCACAATAGGCAGAAGAAGAGAAGACACATAGGAATTTATTCCTCTTTTCCATGAAAATGTTGCCAATTTGTTAAGTGTTAGGAGAGGGCAGAATAGATTATCTTGGGAAAGGGTCTGTCTGTTTGTCTAGGATCCTGAACAGGAGCAAACCACACTGCAACATTTTTGTAGGTCCAACGTATTTTACAGTACAATAAAATACTAGCGCTAAAGGAAGATTTGGACAGCTAAAACATATTCTGGTGTAAATCAGTATCATAATATTTCCCAATTTTTAAAGATACATTTTCCAATAATGCTTCGTAAATTAAAATGGCAGTCATACTTACTTTGCAGCATGGAAGAAACTGGATAAAAGTAATTTTGAGTCAAGGACACAAACTGGAAAACACCTTTCTGGGCAAGTTCAACTATTTTAAAAAAGAGTTCATCTACAAAAACCAGTTGCACAGGTCAATGTTAATACATAAATTGCTCTAGGAGCAAACAATTTTGCTTTTCTAACCATGAGCTTGCTAAAGAAAAAACAACTAAAGTTAACAGCAGGATAACAAGTATATATTGTACATTGCCTTGCAATTTTCTCTCTTACGTACGGCATGAGCAAAATTGAGAAGAGGGAACTCATTTTGTTAGTGGAAGACATTTTGTTAGAGAAGGGCCACTTTTTATAATAACGTTTTTTTTGGGAACCAATTAAAATCATTATGCGAGGCACCACTGTAAAGGTAAAGGTATCCCCTTGACATTTAGTCTAGTTGTGTCTGACTCTAGGGGGCAGTGCTCATCCCCATTTCCAAGCCATAGAGCCAGCGTTTGTCCGAAGACAGTTTCCGTGGTCACATGGCCAGTGTGACTTGACACGGAATGTTACCTTCCCACCATGGTGGTACCTATTTATCTACTCTGCTTTGAACCTTATGTAAAATAGAAAAGCTACTTGAAGTCTTCTCCACAAACAGCTGGATATTTATGATTGCACCAGAGAGCAGGTAGTTTCGCCATTGATTCAAACTGAAACTATTCCACACTGCCATGCTCAAAGTTGCTGTGGTCAATTCATAACTTGGAGGCAAAAACCCATATTTAGCCAGAGTGGTCCTTGGACAGCAGAGATACAGTATATTGCTGGGGCCACACTCAAAGCCTTATTGCAGAGTAATATTGGCCAGTGGCTGCACTCCAAAGGCACAGAATTTCAAGAGCTCACAATCACTTTCATATCATAAAGAGTTGGCAAGACGGGGCTGTATTATTTCATGATGTTGGGCTTCAGCCACCAGAGTGCTGCAAGAATTCCTAAGGCAGAATTCTAGGATTTCCAGCCTACATACATAAATCTGCAGATCTCTCGATTAAGCCCCCTTCAGAGAAGGGCTTTCAGGTTATCTATGCCCAATGGTGCCGCCATGTGTTGCTGTTTTTAAAAAAAACGAAAGCTGCCACAGTGCTTCCTGGGAGTCACAGTTCTCAAGTAGCCACCCCCTATAAGAACCTAATGAGCAGCAAGACTACAACTTGCAGCATCCTCTATACCCAGAAGAACCTAATCCCCACTGGTCAGTCATGTGATAGTGAGGGTGGTTGACCAACCAGTGAACTCAAGCCACATGACTGCCTTCAAATTTATTAGACACTTTCCACATGGCTGCTGGGACAAAGACTATGTATGTGGAGTCCACACATATTGGCTGTTACATCCAATATTTAAAAAAAAACAGACTTGAAACCAATTCTATGTACAGGAGTCCTGTTCCAATATGATGTCCAAAACACAGCTGTCTGTTAGATCTAAAAATACTACAACTGAGCCTATGAACAGACCAGATTAGCAGATTCTATCTAGCACAGACTTTGTCTGCATGGAATGCAGGTTCAAAATTGATCACACAAATGAAGCATGTTTGACTCCCTTTAAATGTAAATCTAATAGACATGGGCACCCTGTATTCAATTCCAGTTATCGGCTGAGTGGGGAGTTTCCCCCTCCCACCTCTGTGGTGCAGTTCTCGACTGCACAAGAAGGGAAGGAAGGTACAGCTGGACTACTTCTGCGATTGGCGTGATGACAACGGAGCCGAGCATCATGTAGAGCTTTGTAAGTGGCCTGGCCAGTTCTGGGGGTCGGAGCTGGGCCAATGTTTTCCCACAGAAAAGAATACAAAGTATCAATGTCTAAAAACCAAACCACTTACCCAGCCCCTGTACAAGCAATATGTTCTTGTTTAAACCTCTGCCAAAGAAGCCGTAAGATCCAAAGACAACCATACACTTTTGCAGTAGATGAAAAACTAATTTCAGCTCAAGAAATTCTATTTTAAAACATTGCGATAGAGGTAACAATTTATTAAAAGATACGCTTTGTTGTTTTCATGGCATATAGCTTCTCTATAATATGCTTCTTTTGCCTGATCAAACTGTTTGGCATTTTTAAAGGCAACAGCTGAAAAATTTTAAAATGGAACATTAATATTCATTCTGTGATAAATATTTCCCATTTATTACATCTCAGAAATAACATCACAAAGGATTTATTTCTTTAAGCTTTATTATCATTTACTTATTTAAAACATTTTTCTTGCTCTTTAACTCAGATACTATCAGGACAACAATCTTTTTAATATTTGTATTCTCATAACAACCCTGTGAAGTAACTAACAAACCCAAAAGTACCCAATTAACTTCCTGGGTGAGTGGGAACATGAATGTCAGCACAAAATGGTTATGCATCAGATTCCCTCGAGCTTACTATTAATCAATTCACATTTCAAGCAATGTCATATACATGTTGTCTATGTGCATTAATAATGGTTCCCAGGCAAATTATGTAAGTCTTCTGAGTATCAAAACCATAGCTTTCTGGCTGCAATATTCATGCAGATTTCCTTGAGAGGAAGACCTACCCAACACAATGGAATTCACCTCAATGTAAACATGCATATGGTTTAGGCTATACCATAGCTTTCTGGCTGCAATATTCATGCATACATCCTTGAGAGGTAGACCCACCCAACACAGTGGAACTCACCTCAATGTAAACATGCATATGTTTTAGGCTATGTTTTGGTTTTAAGAGATGATACAAGACTCTAACCCTAAACTCATACAGTGTGATTTCCATTACTATCCTGCCTACAATATCTTCCAATAACCTACAGCCACATTTTACCCTACCCATTCCACAAGAAATGAATGCTACCAAATACACAGAAATGTGTTTTTTTAATGTTATGAAATAGTTTGTCTCTGGAATGTTATTGTTGCTATACACATAAAAGTCATTCAGTAATTCCAAATGACATTTCTCTTGCCTTTTTCCATTAAATCAAGTGTACAACGAAGGCAGTGAACTATATCTGTGATTGTGAAAATGAATTTTCCATGTTTTGCACAACATACCTGCCTTTGAATATTCAGTAGCTGCACTATCATAGTCTGGTTTCCATTTTAGTAATCCAGTTTTCAAACTGAAATACAGAACAATCCAAATAATTAGTAATGACAAAAACAAGTTAAATCATTCAAAATGAAGTTAAGGTGAGGCACTGATCACCTTCACTCATATACCTAAGAGATGACATCACTACAAATCATAGAAGTGGTGGTACAGTGAAGCCATGGTCCACAGGGTCAAATCCCAGGACTTTCTGGCTAGCAGGGACTGTTATATCATCTGTCATAATCACTTAGGCTCCTCGTTCCCTTTAAGTTTAGATGTAATCCACTCAGTAGCTGAGATAAAAATGGATTTTTTTTCAAGAAACAGTATATAGTTGCAAACGTTCCTTGCTGTAATATAAATATGTGGAAATGGTTTGATACTGCATAGGCAAATTACAGCCACCAGTTCCTCAAATGTTGCTATGTACCAATCTAATGGCCTGCAGGTTTGCTCTCTCCTTATAGCTATGAGGACCGTCACAAGTGGCATCTGCACTTCCAAGTTGACAACTACACAACTGGTCAGAAAAATGTTACAGAGCATCTTTTAAACACTGCACAACAGAAAAACAAAAAACACCAGGCTCAAGCACAGACTGTGGGGGACCCAATACTGTACCTCATAAGCAGCACAGAATGATTTGCTTTCAGTTTAATGTCTGACCTTTTAATTTAAGAAGTAATGTAGATATCCCCCACTTGTGTACTGTTGCCAATGCAGAGCCAGACACTCTGGTGCGATGACTGGCCATATTCCGTTATTCAAAAGCAAAAGGGGGGGGGGAAACACTCCCATGAAATAAACCACACCCACTTGTGGGTGAAAAGTCATGGGTCAAGAAGACCATAATATTGTATATAGAGGAGCCACTGATCCGCTACGAACCTAAGAAATGTTACGAATATTTGGAGATTTTGGGGGCGGGTGATGACAGAAGTTCAAAGCAAGCGACCCTCCGTTTCCTCGCCAAAAGGGAAGAGGGGACTTTGTGACAAAACAAGGAGCGCCGCTGCGTCACCGGAGTCTCCAGCGTTGGTGCACCTGAACGCAGAGGCCTCCTTGCACCCACGGCTACACCTATTAACACCCCCCCCCTCACACACACACACACACACACACGCCCCAGTCTGGGGAAGGCGTGGGCCCTGATTCAGCGGGATCTTCTACCGGCTACCGGGGGAGGCCAACCACGTCCCTCGCCCGGGGGCATCTTCGGCACTGTCACTCCTCAGGGGAGAAAGATTTCCCCCTCCCCTTCCCACAGGGACCCACCCGGGCATTTGTCGCCCGAAAGCGGCAGAGGCGGGTCAAGCAGTGCACCGGGGAGGCAGCTCTCCCTCCCCACAGGAGGCTTGGCTGGCTGAAGAGACCCTCGCTGGTTCCCGAGGGACTGGCAAGGCCCTCTCCGCTGCCCTTCCCCTGCCCACCCCGCCGTCCCTTCCCAAAGCCTCGCCGCTCACTATTTCTCCGCCTTGGCGATGTGCTCCAAGCCTTCGTTGATCTTCTGCGCCGCCATCTCGCCTGACGAGAAACACAGTAAGCCAGCCCGAGGCCGAACGTCATCGGAGTAAGGGGACCCGCCGGGCCCAAACCAGTGCGAAAGGCGCAGTCGTCCTTCCGAGGCCTGCACACTGCGCTTGCGCGAAGACCTGCTCGTCTACCCGGGCCGGTTATATGTGTCGACCCTACGCGACGTTCTCTTCTGTCCTTCTCGCAAAGTGGAGGACGAGGGGGGGGGGGCTCGCTGCGGAAATGGCCCGCGTTACGCAGAAATGGGCCGCCTGACTGGCAGCAAAGGAAATAGTAGAGTTCTATATCTGGTGAAGAGAGCTGCGCTCTGAAAGCCTATGCCAAATAAGAATGGCTAGTCGCAAGACTGTGCTGTTTTTGCTGCGACGGACTAAAGGAGTTTGCGGGAGAGGATTTATGTCGTCCCGTCGTCCTGCCTTTTCCCTCGCATTCTTCTATCTTGTAGGCTGCATGAAAACAATAAAAACACCACGGACACGAATGAAATGTCTAGCCTGTTTCCATGGTTTTGAAAAAAAATTCTCTTTCTGGCCACAATTCGAGGTGCTGGTTTTAAAGCCCTAAATGGCCTAGGTCGAAGCTACAGTATATATAAAGCCCTAAATGGCCTAGGTCCAAGCTACAGTATATGAAAGCCCATATCTCTCATTATGAACCAGTTGGTGTGTTAAGATAGGAGAGGCCGTTCTGTCGTCCCACCACCTTCACAGGTGTGTCTGACAGGGACAAAAAACAACCAAACAGCTGTGTAATCTTTTATTTATAAAACTGTTCTGATGCCACGGCACCATTTATGTGAAAAAGAGTGGGAAACTGTCCCTAAAAAATCCTCAGAGAAAAATTCAGTGTAAGTGCAATATTAGTGCCCCTGAAGAAAGCTGAACATATATTAGCCAAAAGCACTGGGCTCTTATCTTTGAATAAAATATTGATACCCATTTTTACATCCTGGGACTATCATGTCTCTTTGCTAGACATTGTCTGACGGGGACACAGGAGAGCCTTCTCTGTTGTTGCCCCAGACTTTGAAACTCCTTCCCACTGGAGGCCAGGTTGGCCCCATCTTTGCTATCCTGCAAGCAGGCAAAGACTTTCTCTTCAGGAAAGCCTTCACTCAGTAACTAGCTACCTGTGTGTGATTTTTAGATAGATTGTTACGCATTACTACTTTAGCTGGATTAATAGTAGTACTTGTGTTTTCCATTTCTCAGATCAGCATGTAATAATATTTATATATTTACTCTTCTAAGCTTTAATATTGTCCTTTAATGATGTAAGATGCCTCTTTATACTCATTGTTCTTAGCTTTGAATAATGTATTGCCTTTTAATGATGTTATGCACCATTGTACGGTATACTCACTGTTTTCAACTTTAAATATTGTCTTCTGATGTAAGTTGCCTTGGGTCCTTTTCAAGGAGAAAGGCAGGGTAAAAATATTTCAGACCAACAAACAAACCTTTTCTCTGTCCTTGTCATATAAGGCACTATATTTGCATACACGGATCTGATCATGCTTGCTGTTCATTGAGTGGACAATGCTGTATGTTTTCCCATGGATTTTTCCAAGACAACTTAATACAATGGTGGTTGTGCAGGTCAGTGTTGCCACCAGTACTATTTGCATACACGGATCTGATCATGCTTGCTGTTCATTGAGTGGACAATGCTGTATGTTTTCCCATGGATTTTTCCAAGACAACTTAATACAATGGTGGTTGTGCAGGTCAGTGTTGCCACCAGTACTCTGTGTGTGTGTGTGTGTTTAGTCGTTTAGTCGTGTCCGACTCTTCGTGACCCCATGGACCAGAGCACACCAGGCCCTCCTGTCTTCTACTGCCTCCCGGAGTTGTGTCAGGTTCATGTTGGTTGCTTCGCAGACACTGTCCAGCCATCTCATCCTCGGTCGTCCCCTTCTCCTCTTGCCATCACACTTTCCCAACATCAGGGTCTTTTCCAGGGAGTCTTTTCTTCTCAATTCTCAAGAGTCTCCTCCAGCACCACAATTCAAAGGCATCAATTCTTCGGCGGTCTGCTTTCTTTATGGTCCAGCTCTCACTTCCATACATCACGACAGGGAAAACCATAGCTTTGACTATTCGGACTTTTGTTGGCAAGGTGATGTCTCTGCTTTTCAAGATGCTGTCAAGATTTGTCATCGCTTTCCTCCCAAGAAGAAAGCGTCTTTTAATTTCAGGGCTGCTGTCTCCATCTGCAGTTATCATGGAGCCCAGGAAGATAAAATTTGACACTGCCTCCATATCTTCCCCTTCTATTTCCCAGGAGGTGATGGGACCAGTGGCCATGATCTTAGTTTTTTTGATGTTGAGTTTCAGACCGTTTTTTGCACTCTCCTCTTTCACCCTCATTACAAGGTTCCATAATTCCTCCTCACTTTCTGCTATCAGAGTGGTATCATCTGCATATCGGAGGTTGTTGATATTTCTTCCGGCAATCTTAATTCCGGCTTGGGTTTCTTCCAGTCCAGCCTTCCGCATGATGTATTCTGCATATAAGTTAAATAAGCTGGGGGACAATATACAGCCTTGCCGTACTCCTTTCCCAATTTTGAACCACTCAGTTGTTCCATGACCAGTTCTAACTGTTGCTTCCTGTCCCACATATAGGTTTCTCAGGAGATGGATAAGGTGGTCAGGCACTCCCATTTCTTTAAGAACTTGCCATAGTTTGCTGTGGTCCACACAGTCAAAGGCTTTTGCATAGTCAATGAAGCAGAAGTAGATATTTTTCTGGAACTCTCTGGCTTTCTCCATAATCCAGCGCAAGTTAGCAATTTGGTCTCGAGTTCCTCTGCCTCTTCGGAATCCAGCTTGTACTTCTGGGAGTTCTCGGTCCACATACTGCTGAAGCCTACCTTGTAGGATTTTGAGCATAACCTTGCTAGCGTGTGAAATGAGTGCAATTGTACGGTAGTTGGAGCATTCTTTGGCACTGCCTTTCTTTGGGATTGGGATGTAGACTGATCTTTTCCAATCCTCTGGCCACTGTTGAGTTTTCCAAACTTGCTGGCATATTGAATGTAGCACCTTAACAGCATCATCTTTCAAGATTTTAAATAGTTCAATTGGAATGCCATCACCTCCACTGGCCTTGTTGTTAGCCAGGCTTTCTAAGGCCCACTTGACTTCGCTCTCCAGGATGTCTGGCTCAAGGTCAGCAACTACATTGTCTGGGTTGTCCGGGATATCCACATCTTTCTGATATAATTCCTCTGTGTATTCTTGCCACCTCTTCTTGACGTCTTCTGCTTCTGTTAGGTCCTTCCCATTTTTGTCTTTTATCATGTTCATCTTTGCGCAAAATGTTCCTCTAATATCTCCAATTTTCCTGAAGAGCTCTCTGGTCTTTCCTTTTCTGTTATCTTCCTCTATTTCTTTGCATTGTTCATTTAAGAAGGCCCTCTTGTCTCTCCTTGCTATTCTTTGGAAGTCTGCATTCAATTTTCTGTAACTTTCCCTATCTCCCTTGCATTTTGCTTCCCTTCTCCTCTCTGCTATTTCTAAGGCCTCGTTGGACAGCCACTTTGCTTTCTTGCATTTCCTTTTCTTTGGGATGGTTTTCGTTGCTGCCTCTTGGACAATGTTACGAGCCTCTATCCAAAGTTCTTCAGGCACTCTGTCCACCAAATCTAGTTCCTTAAATCTGTTCTTTACTTCCACTGTGTATTCATAAGGGATTTGGTTTAGATTATACCTGAGTGGCCCAGTGGTTTTTCCTACTCTCTTCAGTCTAAGCTTGAATTTTGCTATGAGAAGCTGATGATCAGAGCCGCAGTCAGCTCCAGGTCTTGTTTTTGCTGACTGTATAGAGCTTCTCCATCTTTGGCTGCAGAGAATATAATCAATCTGATTTCGATATTGCCCATCTGGTGATTTCCATGTGTAGAGTCGCCTCTTGTGTTGTTGGAAAAGAGTGTTTGTGATGACCAGCTTATTCTCTTGACAAAACTCTATTAGCCTTTGTCCTGCTTCGTTCTGAACTCCAAGGCCAAACTTCCCTGTTGTTCCTTTTATCTCTTGGCTCCCTACTTTAGCATTCCAGTCCCCTAGAATGAGAAGAACATCTTTCTTTGGTGTCAGTTCTAGAAGGTGTTGTAAATCTTCATAGAATTGTTCAATTTCAGTCTCCTCATCAATGCTGGTTGGTGCATAAACTTGGATTATTGTGATGTTGAATGGTCTGCCTTGGATTGGTATTGACATCATTCTATCATTTTTGAGATTGTATCCCATTACAGCTTTTCCCACTCTTTTGTTGACTATGAGGGCTACTCCATTCCTTCTACGGGATTCTTGCCCACAGTAGTAGATATGATAATCATCTGAGCTGAATTCGCCCATTCCTGTCCATTTTAGTTCACTGATGCCCAGGATGTCAATGTTTATTCTTGCCATCTCCTGTTTGACCACCTCCAGCTTCCCAAGGTTCATAGATCTTACATTCCAGGTTCCTATGCAGTATTTTTCTTTACAGCATTGGACTTTCCTTTCACTTCCAGGCACGTCCACAGCTGAGCGTCCTTTCGGCTTTGGCCCAACCACTTCATTAGCTCTGGAGCTACTTGTACTTGTCCTCCACTCTTCCTCAGTAGCATGTTGGACGCCTTCCGACCTGAGGGTCCCATCTTCCAGCGTCATATCTTTTAGCCTTTTGTTTCTGATCATGGGGCGTTCTTGGCAAAGATACTGGAGTGGCTTGCCATTTCCTATTCCAGGTGGATTGCGTTTAGTCGGAACTCTCCACTATGTCCTGTCCGTCTTGGGTGTCCCTGCACGTCATAGCCCATAGCTTCTCTGAGTTACTCAAGCCCCTTCACCACGACAAGGCAGCAATCCATGAAGGAGGCCACCAGTACTAGTGAAAATAAAATGACTGTATTGTTTGTCTCACCTGTTGAATAGAGCGTTGAATAGGCAGCTGTCAGAGGCGCCCTCTCAAGGCTGATGCCCTTAATACTTATTTGCCTGGATCATCTGCCCCTAAATCTGGCCCTGGTGATGTCAGTCTGTGCTTTTAAGCAGCAAGTGTATAGGGAAACACTGTGGAAAAGACAGCCGGCACTGGCTGTTGGCACTGAATCCCCTAAAGCTAGACCCAGAAGTGGAAGTACTGTATGTCATTCATGAGCACTTGTAAATGGCATCAGTGGT